GAAATCAGAGCGAGAGACAGAGAGAGAGATCAGAGAGCGAGATCAGAAAGACAGATCAGAGCAAGAGACAGAGAGAGAGAGAGAGAGAAATCAGAGTGAGAGACAGAGAGAGAGAGAGAGAGACAGAGATCCGAGAGAGAGAGAGATCAGAGTGAGAGACAGAGAGAGAGAGAGAGAGATCCAAGAGAGGGATCAGAGAGAGAGAGAGAGATCAGAGAGCGAGATCAGAAAGACAGATCAGAGCAAGAGACAGAGAGAGAGAGAAATCAGAGTGAGAGACAGAGAGAGAGAGAGAGAGAGATCAGAGCGAGAGAGATCAGAGAGAGAATGGTATTATTGAACAGTCTTCTTTAAAACGTGAGACAGCCACTTCTGTGACATTGTTCAAATCCAGGTTAAAACAGTTGAATCCTTCAGCTGTTGCAGCGAAACTGTTTCGCTGCAACAACTGAAGGATTTTATCTTTAATCTCTTTTTAAAGCACAGTCTGTCTTTACTCATCTGTTGCTTCCTGACCTAATGTTTAGTGTGAGTGTGGGCGACTGCTGCCTCCTGCTGGTCACATCTGGAAACACAGGCTTCACGCTGCAGTGGAACAAAAGCTGAACATTGAACAATCTGCAGCCGCCGTGTCTCAACAGTGGATTATACTGATCTGTTTATGGGATTAGGATTAGGACAAATGTGAATGTGGAAATGTGGAAACTCCAGCATCAGGAATTAGCCTGGGATATATCTGTGTGTGAGAGACCAGAGAGACCAGAGAGAGAGACCCTAGAGAGAGACCAGAGAGAGAGACCAGAGAGAGACCAGAGAGAGACCAGACAGAGAGACCAGAGAGAGAGACCAGAGAGAGAGACCAGAGAGAGACCAGAGAGAGACCAGAGAGAGAGACCAGAGAGAGAGACCAGAGAGAGAGAGACTAAAGAGACCAGAGAGAGACCAGAGAGAGAGACCAGAGAGAGAGACCAGAGAGAGAGACCAGAGAGAGAGAGACTAGAGAGACCAGAGAGAGAGACCAGAGAGAGACCAGAGAGAGACCAGAGAGAGAGACCAGAGAGAGAGGCCATAGAGAGAGACCAGAGCGAGAGACCAGAGAGTGAGACCAGAGAGAGAGAGACAGACCAGAGAGAGACCAGAGAGAGACCAGAGAGAGACCAGAGAGAGACCAGAGAGAGACCAGAGAGAGACCAGAGAGACCAGAGAGAGACCAGAGAGAGACCGGAGAGAGAGACCAGAGAGAGATCAGAGAGAGACCAGAGAGAGACCAGAGAGAGAGACCAGAGAGAGATCAGAGAGAGACCAGAGAGAGACCAGAGAGAGACCAGAGAGAGAGACCAGAGAGAGAGGCCATAGAGAGAGACCAGAGCGAGAGACCAGAGAGTGAGACCAGAGAGAGAGAGACAGACCAGAGAGAGACCAGAGAGAGACCAGAGAGAGACCAGAGAGAGACCAGAGAGAGACCAGAGAGAGACCAGAGAGACCAGAGAGAGACCAGAGAGAGACCGGAGAGAGAGACCAGAGAGAGATCAGAGAGAGACCAGAGAGAGACCAGAGAGAGACCAGAAAGAGAGACCAGAGAGAGAGACCGGAGAGAGAGACCAGGGAGAGGGACCAGGGAGAGAGACCAGAGAGAGAGGGACCAGAGAGAGAGACCAGAAAGAGAGACCAGAGAGAGACCAGAGCGAGTGACCGGGACCGGAGATGAGAGAGCGTCTCCTTTAAAAACACAATCATCGTTTCTATTGCTTTATGCTGACAGTGATGTTTTTTATAAATCCATGTATTATGATTCTTTTAAAGTTAGGTCCCCCAGCTTTATTCCCCGTACCTTCTTAAAGACCTTCCCGTTGTCCTGCCTCTCGTCCTCCTCACAGATCACTTCTCTCGTTCCCAGAAAATCCCGGTGTTTGAACTTCTCCGCCGCAAACTCCATCATCTTGTCGAGCGTGTGGACTCCCGGCTGCACCGTGGTCAGCAGCCTGGAGGTGGCGCTCACGGCTCGGTACGGCCCCTCCCCCAGACCCGACACGGACCGGGCCTTGATCCTCCTGGCCCGGTCCTCCTCGGAGCCGTAGTGGGTCTGACCAGAGGGAGACCGGAGCAGGTGGAGGAGCAGAGCTGGGAGGAAGGTGAGGACAGAGTAGAGGGAGGTGACCAGGTGGAACAGCAGGAGTAGAGCAGGGTTCAGGTCCTCCTTTGGCTTCATGGTCACCCAAGATGGCCGACGTTTATGGTCTGTCTCCTCTCTACCTGCAAAATAAGGATAAAAAACTGGTAAGAGGAGGTGGTGGGAGAAAGAGCAGAGAGAGAGACTAGAGAGAGAGACCAGAGAGAGCAGAGAGAGAGACTAGAGAGAGAGACCAGAGAGAGCAGAGAGAGAGGGCAGAGAGAGAGACCAGAGAGGGCAGAGAGAGAGACCAGAGAGAGCAGAGAGAGAGGGCAGAGAGAGAGACCAGAGAAGAAGAGTGACCAGTGGGAGAGTCCAGAGAGAGAGACCAGAGAGAGCAGAGTGAGAGACCAGAGAGAGAGACCAGAAGGGCAGAGAGAGAGAGAGAGAGAGAAAGAGAGCAGAAGGAGAGGCAAGAAAGAACACAGAGAGAGACCAGAGAGAGGCCAGAGAGAGAGAGACCAGAAAGAGAGAGCACAGAGAGAGCAGAGAGAGAGGCCAGAAAGAGAGACCAGAAAGAGACCAGAGAGAGAGACCAGAGAGAGACCAGAGAGAGACCAGAGAGAGACCAGAGAGAGACCAGAGAGAGACCAGAGAGATACCAGAGAGATACCAGAGAGAGACCAGACACCAGAGACTCTCAATGTTGCCATAAGGTGAAAAAAGTATTTCCAAAGTGGTCTCAAAGGTTCTTTTAGTTAAATACGACTTCTACTTCTCCACAAAACACATCAGCTGTGGCCCAGAGCTCTGACTGACATTTCCTTGTTTTCTGTGAATATTTGGTGAAATTAGGTTACGCCGAAACAAGAGTTCTCTGAGGAATCTGTGGATACAACGGTCACATGTTTTAGCTTCAGGACGAGCTCAGTCTGAGAAGAAAACAATGAATCATCTCAATCTTTAGTTTCACATAAATCATTATATGTGTAAAAAAATAAGAATAATGGTAAATTGTGTATTATTGTATTAGTAGTAGTAGTAGTAGTAGTAATAGTAGCAGCAGCAGTAGTAGCAGCAGTAGTAGTAGTAGTAGCAGTAGTAGCAGCACTAGTAGCAGTAGCAGTAGTAGCAGTAGTAGCAGAAGAATAAGAAGTAGCAGCAGTAGTAGTAGCAGTAGTAGTAGTAGCGGTAGTAGTAGTAGCAGCAGTAGTAGCAGTAGTAGCAGAAGAATAAGAAGTAGCAGTCGCAGTAGTAGTAGTAGCAGTAGTAGCAGCAGCAGTAGTAGCAGTAGTAATAGTAGTAGTAGCAGCACCAGTAGCAGTGGTAACAGTAGTAGTAGTCGCTGTAGCAGTAGCAGTCGTAGCAGCAGCAGTAGTAGCAGCAGTAGCAGTAGCAGTAGTAGCAGCAGTAGCAGTAGCAGTAGCAGTAGCAGTAGTAGCAGTAGTAGTCTAACCTGTTGAAACAGACAGATGTAAATGACATGAAGTGTGTCTGTAGTGAGTAATGACACTAAAAACACACTTAAAAAGATAACAGTGTTTGATATAAACATGTCAATAATACTCCATACACTGTGGTGATAAACTACTACTGTAGCCACAGCTGCCCTGGGGCACACTGACAGAAGCGAGGCAACCAGTCTGTGCCATCAGCCCCTCCCGATACCATCAGTATTTAATATGTACTACTATGGGGCCAGAGATGTACTTTATCGAGCTACAACAAACAAACAAAAACTACTATTGCTGCTGCAACTACTACTGCTGCTGTGACCTTCCTGCTCCACCCAGAGGCTACTCCACCTCTGCTGCTGTGACCTTCCTGCTCCACCCAGAGGCTACTCCACCTCTGCTGCTGTGACCTTCCTGCTCCACCCAGAGACTACTCCACCTCTGCTGCTGTGACCTTCCTGCTCCACCCAGAGGCTACTCCACCTCTGCTGCTGTGACCTTCCTGCTCCACCCAGAGGCTACTCCACCTCTGCTGCTGTGACCCCTCCTGCTCCACCCAGAGGCTACTCCACCTCTGCTGCTGTGACCTGTCCTGCTCCACCCAGCAGCTACTCCACCCCTGCTGCTGTGACCTTCCTGCTCCACCCAGAAGCTACTCCACCTCTGCTGTTGTGACCTTCCTGCTCCACCCAGAGGCTACTCCACCTCTGCTGCTGTGACCCCTCCTGCTCCACTCAGAGGCTACTCCACCTCTGCTGCTGTGACCCCTCCTGCTCCACTCAGAGGCTACTCCACCTCTGCTGCTGTGACCTGTCCTGCTCCACCCAGAGGCTACTCCACCTCTGCTGTTGTGACCCGTCCTGCTCCACCCAGAGGCTACTCCACCTCTGCTGCTGTGACCCGTCCTGCTCCACCCAGAGGCTATTCCATCTCTGCTGCTGTGACCCATCCTGCTCCACCCAGAGGCTACTCCACCTCTGCTGCTGTGACCCCTCCTGCTCCACCCAGAGGCTACTCCACCTCTGCTGCTGTGACCTGTCCTGCTCCACCCCGCAGCTACTCCACCCCTGCTGCTGTGACCTTCCTGCTCCACCCAGAAGCTACTCCACCTCTGCTGTTGTGACCTTCCTGCTCCACCCAGAGGCTACTCCACCTCTGCTGCTGTGACCCCTCCTGCTCCACTCAGAGGCTACTCCACCTCTGCTGCTGTGACCCCTCCTGCTCCACTCAGAGGCTACTCCACCTCTGCTGCTGTGACCTGTCCTGCTCCACCCAGAGGCTACTCCACCTCTGCTGTTGTGACCCGTCCTGCTCCACCCAGAGGCTACTCCACCTCTGCTGCTGTGACCCGTCCTGCTCCACCCAGAGGCTATTCCATCTCTGCTGCTGTGACCCATCCTGCTCCACCCAGAGGCTACTCCACCTCTGCTGCTGTGACCTGTCCTGCTCCACCCAGAAGCTACTCCACCTCTGCTGCTGTGACCTTCCTGCTCCACTTAGAGGCTACTCCACCTCTGCTGCTGTGTCCTGTCCTGCTCCACCCAGAGGCTACTCCACCTCTGCTGCTGTGACCTTCCTGCTCCACCCAGAGGCTACTCCACCTCTGCTGCTGTGTCCTGTCCTGCTCCACCCAGAGGCTACTCCACCTCTGCTGCTGTGACCTTCCTGCTCCACCTAGAGGCTACTCCACCTCTGCTGCTGTGACCTTCCTGCTCCACCCAGAGGCTACTCCACCTCTGCTGCTGTGTCCTGTCCTGCTCCACCCAGAGGCTACTCCACCTCTGCTGCTGTGACCTTCCTGCTCCACCTAGAGGCTACTCCACCTCTGCTGCTGTGACCTTCCTGCTCCACCCAGAAGCTACTCCACCTCTGCTGCTGTGACCCTCCTGCTCCACTCAGAGGCTACTCCACCTCTGCTGCTGTGACCTGAAGGACTGTTGTTGATTAATACTATTATTAGCTCTTTAGAATGATCAATTTCATTTTTGCTGCTACTGGACACCTGAAAGTAATTTACATGGTTACGTATAACCTTTACTCACTTTTAATGAGAGCTACAACTGGTGAACATAACTGAACCACGACAGAAAGTTTGTTAAAAGGCTAATGCTAAAGACCAAATTCTAACTGCTACAAGTAAACAGTGCGTTGCTATGGTAACTAGCTTCTCTGGTGGAAAATCGAGTTGAACCAGAACCAGTCCAGAACAAGAGAAAAGTGACCCTAACTACCGTGTCTGTCTGGTTAATTCCTGACACTACTACACATAGAAACCAAATAACAACAAAAGTCACTGATTTGATTTTACTGCTGGATTTGAAGCCTGTCTCACTTTTTCCGGAAGACTGCTCTAGATTTTAGCAGCATAAATCTGAAAAGTTGCTGCTTGAGCCTCTTATTGCTCCCACAGATCTGCAGACGTGAGGAAATATGGAGAAAGTGGCAGCGATCGCGGCGTGCAGCTGTGAGAGCGAGAGAAAGCCTCTTTGTGAGGACTAAACAGGCTTAAGTCTTGCACAGCTCTGCATGACCAGAGTGACCAGTGTGGGGAAACTGCAGAGACAGAGCAGAGACTGAGGAGAGACCGAGGAGAGACTGAGCAGAGACTGAGGAGAGACCGAGGAGAGACCGAGGAGAGACTGAGGAGAGACCGAGGAGAGACTGAGGAGAGACCGAGGAGAGACTGAGGAGAGACCGAGGAGAGACTGAGCAGAGACTGAGGAGAGACTGAGCAGAGACTGAGGAGAGACCGAGGAGAGACCAAGGAGTAATTGAAAAAAATGACAAAAAGCCTAAGTTTAACAGGGTCAATTCTTAGGGTATATTTATGAACACATTGACTGCCATTGACGGCAATTTTGTCAAACTTCCCCCTTTCCACTGGCAATTACAGGAGAACAAAACTAGCTAGAAACAAACTTATTTTTGCTGCTGAAAGTAGACAGTCCAATCTTTCAGACTCTGGATTCATATTTCACATAGTCATCGCACATAATATTCTGTGGGTATTAAAAATGAGTGAAATCTTCAAAAATGGCAGCAGTCCATGAGTTTACATTTACAGACCGTGGTCGTTGCTCCCTATGGACCAATGGCTTTATGTGTTTGTTATTATTGCATTTCCTGTGTTTAAATGGTTTGATTCTCTGATCTGTAGTCGGTGAAATTACAACTTTGTAAAGTCCTCTGCGAGACGACCGCTGCTGTGGTTTAGGGCTCTACATAAATACATTGAATTGAGTTGAACTACGAGACTCAAGACTCCTATAGACCAGAGCTACAGAATCCTGTACAAAAAGGAAAAAATCTCTCAAGAAAGTTTTGTAACTACTTTTTTTTTTCAAATTATCTTTAATACTTCCTAAAACTTGAAATACAACTAGTTGAAAGGATAAAGGCTAAATGCTAACTGCAATCTGCTAACTCAAGTAAACAGTGTGTTGCTATGGTAACTAACATTTGCTATACTCTGCCAGGCTGAACCAAGCTGAACCAGTCCAACCAAATATAAATTATTTTACATTCAAACGAATGGGCAGTCAAAATGACTGTTCTGAGAGTCAAAGTCAGAACTTGCAATTGATAAATAAAAAATATTTTCATAAGAATTATAGAAATAAACCTCAAAGATATAGAAAAAAGGTTATGAAGAGAAAAAATATACTTAACGCTGAGTCATTCCACAAGGAAAAGCCGACAAATTGACGGCTCTGGGAGTTCTAAGATTTGCCGATGGGAGAAGTTTTGGTTTTATTTGGGGTACAGTAGGAGAAAGAAAGTTTTGAAGGCAACATTTTGAGAACAATAAAATCCTATTGGAAAAAGTAAGAAAGTAATGTTTATTTGTATCAAGTTCAAGTCGTCTTTATTGTCCCACTGGGGGAATTGGTTTGGCAGCAACAGTCATCTAAAAACAGGCAGATACAGTAAGATCACAAACATTGTAGAAAATAAGAACAAGACAGATTATCACAAAGCTAATTTTCAGTGCAAATATGCTGTAAAGTGCAAAGGTTTGTACAAAAGTGCTATGTGCTGTTAAGGTGCTTCACAGCTGTTGGAATAAATGTAGTTCCCAACCGTTTTGTCCTACACCCAAGAGCCCTATAGCGTCGTCCTGAGGGTAAAAGTATAGCGCCTTCCATCGACCAGAGTCACAAAGACCTTTACAATTGTTTTTGGGCATTTGTCTCTCAGTCCACACAGAGATAGGAGTGAGGTCACCTAAAGGAGGCACATACCAGACCTATTATACATGTTTTTAGTGGTAGGTGAAACCGGAGCACCTAGAGAAAACCTAAGCAGACATGGGAAAAACAAGCAAACTCCACTCAGAAAGGTCCTGTTCTGACCAGGATTCAAACCTATAATCTTCTCACTCCATATAAAAAACATTTTATAGAGTACATATTTGCATACCTGGAACACAGAGCCCTGAGAGTCACTATTTGACTGCTCCGGAAGTTCTAGAATGATCTTCTGGGTGTGTATCTGTCAAAGCACAACTGGATGTAGCAGAGAAAAGCACAGTATTCGGCTCTGGGGCTTGCTTCTCCACAGACCTGGCCCTGACGGCACCATCTGTCGTCTTGCATACTGTTTATACCCACATCGCCATGGTGACCAACCCTGCGGCCGAAAACTCACATAGAGCTCCTTTAAAACGCGATAAGAATCAGTGGCGTAAAAATCCCAATTATTCCAGTGTAACCAGGTTAGTTCCAGCGTTTTTCCAGACCGTAAATGAGACTGTTGCTCCGTCTCCATGAAAGAACTTTACAATGTACAGTATATCATTCACCTATGAGATTACAGATTCGGGTTTCATGCGACATATTGATGAGAACTGCTGAGTCTGTGTCATTCATCCGTGAATAACGAAATGGCGCAACTTCAGAAAGTCCACTGTACAATTCACTTTACTATATTAACTTATTATCCTGTACAGTGCATAATTCCTGCTCTATATGTACAGTATATAACTCCTATATGTACAGTATATAACTCCTGCTCTATATGTACAGTATTTAACTCCTGCTCTATATGTACAGTATATAACTCCTGCCCTATATGTAAAGTATATAACTCCTGCTCTATATGTACAATATATAACTCCTGCTCTATATGTAGAGTATATAACTCCTGCGCTATATGTAGAGTATTTAACTCCTGCTCTATATGTACAGTATATAACTCCTGCCCTATATGTAAAGTATATAACTCCTGCTCTATATGTACAATATATAACTCCTGCTCTATATGTAGATTATATAACTCCTGCTCTATATGTAGATTATATAACTCCTGCTCTATATGTAGAGTATATAACTCCTGCTCTATATGTACAGTATATAACTCCTGTCCTATATGTACAGTATATAACTCCTGCCCTTTAAATACAGTATATAACTCCTGCTCTATATGTACAGTATATAACACCTGCCCTATATATACAGTATATAAGTCCTATATGTACAGTATATAACTGCTCTATATGTACAGTATATAACTCCTGCTCTATATGTACAGTATATAACTCCTGCTCTATATGTACAGTATATAACTCCTGCTCTATATATATTAGCCCGTCCGTCCGTGTAGGAGCGAATCCCTTTCTCAATATTTGGCCCCCCCGAGGTTTCTCATTTTTTTCCCTACTGGGTTTTTTATGAGTTTTTCCTTGTCGATGCAGGAGGGTCTGTTGGACAGTTAGTGTCCGACAAAAAGGATGTGGTGATGATCCAGGACACTTTAACATTCTACAACATGTATGGACATTTATCAACACGTGTTCTATATTCTTCATGTGTTTTAAATGTTGATTCTCTGATCTGTGTTGGTGATTTCAATGGTTTTGTTAAGTCTCTGAGATGATGCTGTTGTGATTTAGCGAAATACAAGAATACATTTTTGTTGTTGTTATACAAGTACAATGTATTTTAATTATTATTTGTCACGTTGTTTTTGCTTGATTGATTTTAGATATTTAGATTTAAAGAGGTGAGAATAACCTTTAATTGTGTCACTTTAAAACACTGGGTTTTTATAGAGCTTTTCTGGACACTTAAAGATGAACTGCAGAAGCCACAGCTGCCCTGGGGCACACTGATAGAAGCGAGGCAACCAGTCTGTGCCATCAGTCCCTCCCACCACCACCAACCATTCACACACACACCAGACTCATTCTAATGTGGGGGAAGTGTCTAGCCTAAGGACACAACCACAGTTTGGCACTTTACAGCCGCAGCCGCCCCACTGTGGCACCTACTGTTCCCAGATGTCTTCCATCACAGCACTAACCAGGCCCTGTCCTCCTTAGCTTCAGAGGTCTAACAGAATCTGGCTTTCACATAACAACCAAAGCACCTGGACGAAAACCAAAGCACCTGGAGAAAACCGAAGCACCTGGAGGAAACCGAAGCACCTGGAGGAAACCGAAGCACCTGGAGAAAACCGAAGCACCTGGAGAAAACCGAAGCACCTGAAACCGAAGCACCTGGAGAAAACCAAAGCACCTGGAGGAAACCGAAGCAGGAGGAAACCGAAGCACCTGGAGGAAACTGGAGCACCTGGAGGCAACCTACGCAGACGCGGGGAGAACATGCAAACTCCACACAGAAAGGTCTGGAGATATAATGTTCATAATGACCGAAGAAATAAACTACTAAGAAATACAGGATGTAATTGATTAAGTCAAGTAAATCCAACAATAACATCTGTATGGAGCAGTCTTCCTGAAAATGTGAGACTGGATTCTTCTCTGTCAATGTTAAAATGTACGTTTAAACAGTTCTGAGGGATTCTATCTTCACTCTTTTTGATATGACTGTTATTTGACTGTTTCTTTACTTGCTTTGTTCAGCCCTTTGAGTTTCCTTGTGTATGAACTGTGCTATACAAATAAATGAATGAGTGTTTTTAACATTCTTCACACTGGTCTTGCACAGTTTTTGCAATGTTGTTTTACTGCAAAAGGCAAAGAAATTCTTCATTTCTTGTCATTTCAGACTTTGCTCATTGTCCCATCGGCAAATCTTGTTTTAAGGCTCAGTCAGAATGGGCTCAAATTAAGACTTTTTTTCATCATATTTAGCAGTGTGTTTGTACTAGGATTGGCAAAAAGGACCAAATCTGGATAAAAACTTAATTATGGGCAAGTTGGACAATTAATACTTTTCAATTTGATACACATACAAATTGAAAAGTAAAATTATTCAAGAATGAGCACTTGAACACAGACGGATGCAAGCTGCAGGAAGAGATTTATGAACCCTATGACACATTTATAACAACTGACATGTATTACTACTGGGAAAACCACATGGAGTCTGCAGTGACTGCGCGCGTGCAATGACAGCATCTCAAAACATCGCAAATTGCCAAAACAAAACTCACCTCCAAAGGCGCCAAGAGACCTCTGCTTCCTCCTGTGTTACGGCAACCTCCTGGTACAAGTGAAGCGTTATTTTGAATCAGTTTGTGTGTCTGTGTGCGTCTATGTGTGCGTCTATGTGTGCGTCTATGTGTGCGTCTATGTGTGTCTATGTGTGAGACCCGGTCTGAAAAGCCGAGACGCGGAAGTGTATGAGGAGCGAGACCGAGGCGCACGAACCAAACAGTGGCTGTGCGTAATGGCGCTGTGCGTAATGGCACCGTGCGCGCGGGGAGGAGGGAGAGCCCTGATGTGATTGGGCTCGTGGCGGTGGCGCGTGGATGTGGGCTGGGTTCCGTGGACTTGATGTGACGGAGAGAATGTGGCGGAGGGGTCGGGGGGTTACTGACGGTCAGTTGAAAGCATACGTACATACACACGTACATACATACACGTACATACACGTACACAATTAAATGCATAAATATATACATACGCATATACACAGACAAACACACAGAGACAGACTGACAGACACAGAGAGAGATATGTACACACACAGAGACACACACTCGCACACACAGACAGATAGACACGCACGCATACACACACACGCACCCACTCACGAGACACACAGAGAGAGAGAGATACACACACACACACACAGAGAGAGAGATACACACGCAGAGACACTCAAACATAGAGAGATAGAGACACACACAGACACACACACACTCAATGAGAGACACACAGGGAGAGACTCACACACTCAATGACACACACGCTCAATGAGACACATACAGGGAGAGACACACACACCACAGGGAGAGAGTGACACACACACACACACACAGGGAGAGAGAGAGACACACACACACATGCATGCTCCTGCTCCAAAGAAACAATGAACAAATCACAATAGACCTAATGTTACTCAGAGCAGACTCTCTCTGCTCAGGGGTTTCTCACATCTGGGCGGGGCCTGTTGGAATGAGGCAGGTTGGTGCAGAACTAGACAAATAATAAAGCAAACAGGCAGGGACATAACTGAGGAAAGGAGGGGTGATGTTCTCTCTCTCTCTCTCTCTCTCTCTGTGTTCTCTCTTTCTGGTCTCTCTGTCCTCTCTCTGTCTTCTCTCTCTCTGGTCTCTCTCTCGCTCTCTGTGCGCTCTCTCTCTCTGTCCTCTCTCTGTGTTATCTCTCTCTGTCCTCTCTCTGTGTCCTCTCTCTGGTCTCTCTCTGTGTTCTCTCTCTGGTCTCTCTCTCTGCGTTTTCTCTCTCTGTGTCCTCTCTCTGGTCTCTCTGTGTTCTCTCTCTGGTCTCTCTCTCTGCGTTTTCTCTCTCTGTGTCCTCTCTCTGGTCTCTCTCTTTCTCTCTCTCTGGTCTCTCTCTGCGTCCTCTCTCATGTGTTCTCTCTCTCTCTCTGTGTCCTCTCTCTCTGTGTTCTCTCTCTCTCTTTCTTTCTCTCTGTGTTTTCTCTCTCTGGTCTCTCTCTCTCCCTCTCTGTCAGACTCGAGTCCAAACAACACACCAGCCATTCCCACGGTGGGTTTCACACGCCCATTTCAAGTCAGAAAACACAGGTATGCAGTGTGACAACTCTCTCTTATACACACACACACACACACACACACACACACACACACACACACACACACACACACACACACACACACACACACACACACACAACTCATCTTTCATTCTTCCACTACTACTTCTACTACCTACTACTACTACTACTAGGCACAATTCATACACAAGGCAACTCAAAGGGCTGAACCAGACAACATACTACTACTACTACTACTACTGCTACTACTACAACCACATTCTTTCCCAGACCAAACCATGAGTCCGGACCTGATCTTTCTGGTCTAACTCTCTGAACTTGCCAAACCAAACCATGGCAGTTCCCCACTTTGTACTCCTCAAACTGGTCCAACAGGTCACACCATTTCACCTCCACTTCCCAGTTGCAAACAATACAAATCAGATTCAGTGTTTTATTTGCCATTTGCAGTAAAACCACAGTGGAATACACATGCAAAGGTATTCTCCCAGTGTGCACCAGACAAGTATATGAATAAAAGAAGCTAAACAAGTTCAAGAAGCAATCCTCAAATCTTAGAGTTTTTGGTAAATTCTTCATTCCATTCATTCTTGTATCACCCTAAATCACAACAGTAGCTTGCCCGGAGGATTTCACAAAACTGTGGAATTCTCCAACAACAGATCAGAGAATCAAACACAAGAAATGCAATGTTAAAAAACACATAGAGCCATTGGTCCATATAGAGGCAGAGACCACTGTTAGACCAGGGGTATCCAAACATGTTAGTAAGCGGGCCACTTTAGTTCATCAGACTAGTCCAGCGGCCGACGTCACGGACTGAAAAACTGTCTTGACTAGCATTTTTATCTGAGCTTTAAAATGATCTATAATGGAGCTGAAGTTGGCTGAATGTTTACCATCTCACCAGCTCACAGGACTACGACTGAAGACATACTGGGCTTAAGAACGAGTTTCAGTTTTAGTTTCAGTTTAGTTTAGTTTATTTCAAAGTTGAAAAAGCAAGAATTAGGCAAGGAGACTATTTTTCATCTATTGTCCCCTGGCCGCGATAAAAAACCATTAAAAACCATTAAAACATAACAAAAATACAAGACAGAGACAACATCAATCAAGCCTAACATTATAGTGTTGACACATTAGACAACATTCATTCAAGAATTCACTTTTTCCAAGACTTAAGCATAAAGTACATCACTTAATGAGGGCAGGTGTATGAGTTACAACATATTGGCTGAGCTGAAGTTGGATGGATCACACAGTGGAGTTGTGTTTATGATCTCAGAGACTGCTGTGGCTTAGCAAGGCAGAGGGCCACATGAAATGACACTGAGGGCCGCAATTGGCTCCTGGGCCTGAGTTTGGACATTCCGGTGTTAGACCCTCCTGCATCGGCAAGAAACAACTCTATTCACCCAGTGGGAAAAGATAAGAAACCTCAGGGAGAACCGCATAGAGAGAGGAAATGATGGGCTAAAGATCCAGGACTCAGGCTGTAGAACGAGGACCGAGGCTGTACATCCAGGACTCAGGCTGTAGAACGAGGGCAGACGAGATGCAGGACCCGGGGGGGTGCAGCCCACGGGGCGGGGCGGGCAGTCCGCAGGTGCAGGTGGAGGCAGCCGGGCTCTGCTGATGTTAATTATTGACCTGGTGTTTTAACACGAGACCCACATTGTTTGGTGAAGGTGTTACTTTGCAACAGTCACTGCCTCAGAATGGACCAGAGTGACTGAGCTGCACCTGTCCAATGATTTATAATGACACTGTGAAAGAGGATCACAAGAGATAATTAAAAATGTATGTCGCCTTTTACAGATGGCGACCAACGACAGACACTGAACTATGAGACCAGTCTGAGATGAAGACATCCTTTATAGGTCCCAAGGAAATGTCAGTGTTGCATCGCTACAGAAGAGAAGGAATGAGGAGCACACAGGATACACAAACAACTATGTACAAAAATAACATGAACTCTCTAACTTTACCATAATAAAGAAGCTAGTATAAAATAGCTATATAGCTTTTATAAAATACTGTATATTCTACAGAACGAAACATACTGTATAGTTGTATGTTTACATCTGTACTTGAATTTATGCCGTAGCAGAGACGACTGTTTTAACTGATCACAACATGATTAATGACTTAGTGACTTAATGACCGTTAGCTTCCATGACTCATTCACCTTCATCTTCATTAATAACCCAGTGTCCTGTAGCTACTAAAGCTTGATGGAGTTCACATAATAAGTCCATAAACTCATAAACAGCCCAATACTACCACTATAAAAAATACACATAATAGCACAGTTCATACCAAGTGCATCACAAAACAAGATAGAAACAAAGAAATCACACGAGACATTAAAATAATAAATAATCACAGTGCATTAAAAAGAGTTAAGATGAAATCCATGCAGCAAAACAGAATAGATTTTAACCTGGATTTGAACATTTGTAGAGAAGAAGCCGCAAAGATCAAAAACTAGAAAAAGTTGCGGCTTTTAGTTTGAAATTTACTTTAACTTGATGTTCATTTGACAATAACTGGCTTCACACAATCAATCAATTAGTTTTTATTAATAGAGTCCTTCACAACACTCAAGGCGACCAAAGGGCTTTACATTCAAACAATCAAAATATAAAAGTTAAAATCCTTCATTCATTTTCCTCCCCTTTATTAGTTCATTTCTGGGTCAGGGGGGTACATGAGAGCTGCCACCTGAATCCTCAAAGCACCGGCCCCTCTGGTGTTTCAGCGGGAGCTTCAGGCAATGTGGGGTTAAGTGTCTTGCCCAAGGACACAATGACAGCAGACATTTGTGGGAGCAGTTTGAGTAGGTCCCAAAAAAAAAGGATAAAAAAACCCCACAACTACGGACTTTAACGACTGCCTGTGGGACAACTGCATTTATAATTTAATTTAATTTATTGCACACTGTAAAAATAAGAACACACCTTATCCACACAGAGACACAACCTTAAAATTTGCCAAGGAGACTATTTTTGTGATGTTAAAAAGCCATTAAAATGCATTAACATAACAAAAATACAACACCATATCGACACAGAGACACAGCCTTAGTGTAAGAAGTTACCTAGAAACCATTTCAAGCTTTCATTCATGTTTTTACTGAGACTTCTTTCTGTAAAAACCTGCCAAACTAACTGTCTCCACACACAAAAAACAACTCATTCATCCACAAGATTAATACAAAAACACATATTCAGATTACTTTCACATAGTATTTTTTATTGTATGCATGTTTTAGAGGAAGCAGCTTTAAAAATGTTCCAGTGTTGAATTATTGAGAATTGCAAATGTTTTAGATTTTCAGGTCCGTGGGGAAAGTCTGGAAAGTGGTCAGTGTGGGTGGAGACTCCGCTGGGACAATGCTGTGACTCACTGCTGCAGAGAAGACAGATGCAAACAAGCAGAACCTAATGCACATGTGTTTTTGTACGAATCTTGTGGATGAATGAGTGAGTTTTTGGTTTTTTGTGTGTGGAGACAGGTTTTTGTGTGTTGGTTTGGCAGGTTTTTACAGAAAGAAGTCTCAATAAAAACATGAATGAAAGGTTGAAATGGTTTCTAGGTAACTTTTTACACTAAGGCTGTGTCTCAGTGTGGATATGGTGTGTTTTTACTAAGTGTACAATAAATTACAACAACATAGTCTCGGGGGACTTTACAAAGTTGCTGATTCGGGAATGCAATAATAACAAACACATAGGAGCCATTTGGTGAGGTGACCAATGTCCATAAATGTTCTATAATGTCCTGGATTATTACTGTCTGTTTACCCTCCTGCATCGGCAAGGAACAACAACATTAAAATAAAATTAACCCAAATAAAATTGACTCAGACAACACTTTCCATCCCTAGACCACACACTAGCAGTAGTATTTTGACTGAGAATACATTATTTATTCTAATGTCTTACTTACTTGCAGTGCTCTTCTCTAGCCCTAATGACACAATATGTGATATCATCTGGTGTCAGTATCTACACCGCATAAGTATCAGATCCCAAAAAAACATGACTTTTAAAAACACATTTTCAAAACTAAGGTCGCTTATAAAAACAAACAACAAATATTATTATTAATATTATTGACATTATCATTAATTTGTATTATTATTTTGTATTATTATCTGTTTATTTATATATTCTTGTGATTTTGCAACAATAATATGCATTGCAAACGTAATATTTTATACAAAATGCTGTTTTTTCTCCGGCAGTCTTGGAGGCAGCTAAACCCGATCCGCGGGGTCCTTTCCGCCGGGGCTCGCAGGATAGCATCAACATGCCGACAGTCGGAGTCAAACGGGACCTTCTCTTCACTGCGCTGGGGAAAACATACAGTACGTTTATATTTCAAAAAACTTCACAACGTGATAATAACGGGATCTTTCTCACCAGTGTTTTTTATTGACTATAAATATACAAGAAGACGCAGAAGCAGTGGCTAGCCTGTTAGCATGAGCTGTACTACTGTGGGATTACTCACGTGTATCAGTATAAATTGTTGTTGTCAGTTTGAATGTGATTATAAAGAGGTTTTATATTAGACAGCTGGTTTTAATATTGATTTAAGTTCTGACTTTTGATCAGAATTGTTCACACTGCTCTGATCTAAAACTAATTAATGGATGGATGTATTATTGCATCATGTTTCCTCCTGTCATTTAAACTGGTGACAGCTCGGGAACACAACATGGTCTAATGTGGATACAGTAAATAAAAGTAACATTTATTAAAGGCAAAAAAATCCGATCATTTTATTTAATGTATGCTCGTTTTTATGGAAATATAACTGTTTTAGATTTATAGATAGACAGATACTTTATTGATCCCCCGTTGAAGAATTGCAGGTTTACAGTAGTAGCAGACACACATGCATTTAAACAAACAAAACAAATAAACAGATAATTCGACAAGTAGCTAACTACAGTAAAATGCAACAGTGCTTCAGTTTCACAGCAGCAGAGGTAGAGTAGCCGCTGGGTGAAGATGGACTTTAGTGTTATATAGACTTATAAGTACCATTAAACTCAAACAATGTTATAAAAGGGGTTCTTGCTTTTATTTATATTGCATCTTACATTTCCAGGAAACTTCGAAGTGATACAGATTAAAATACAATATAGCAACCAAAAAATAGAAAAAAACATACAAAGTACTTACAATATATAAAAAACATACTATTACCACCACTACTGCATCTAGATACCTGGTTGACTATATTCTTTTCTGTTTTAGCCGATGAAGAGTTTGACGAGTTGTGCTTTGAGTTCGGTTTGGAGTTGGATGAAATTGTGAGTATAATCTTTCCTTCCATGTCTCTGTGATATATTTCTGTTTTATATTCATTCATTCATTCATTCATTTATCGTTCTTTTCATTTGGTTTTCGTTCAGACGTCGGAGAAGGAGATCATCAGCAGAGAGCAGGGAGACACTAAAGCCTCCGGGGCATCTGACGTAATCCTGTACAAGATCGATGTCCCAGCGAACCGCTACGACCTGCTGTGTCTGGAGGGACTGGTGCGGGGGCTGCAGGTCTTCAAGAACAAGTGAGAGATTTATGAATGAGTGAGAGATCTGTCTGCTTTATGAATGAGTGAGCGATCTGTCTGTGTTATGAAAGATGAGAGATCTATGTGTAGTTTATGAATGAGTGAGAGATTTATGTGTAGTTTATGAATGAGTGAGAGATCTAAGTGTAGTTTATGAATGAGTGAGAGATTTCTGTGTAGTTTATGAATGAGTGAGAGATCTGTTATGAATGAGTGAGAGGTCTGTCTGTGTTATGAATGAGTGAAAGGTCTCTGATTTATGAATGAGTGAGAGATCTGTCTGTGTTATGAATGAGTGAGAATGAGTGAAAGATCTGTCTGATTTATGAATGATGAGAGATCTGTCTGTTATGAATGAGTGAGAATGAGTGAAAGATCTGTCTGTTATGAATGAGAGATTTATGTGTAGTTTTTGAATGAGTGAGAGATCAATGTGTAGTTTATGAATGAGTGAGAGATCTGTCTGTGTTATGAATGAGAGATTTATGTGTAGTTTATGAATGAGTGAGAGATTTATGTGTAGTTTATGAATGAGTGAGAGATTTATGTGTAGTTTATGAATGAATGAGAGTTGCTGATGCAGGACGGTCTGAGGACAGTGATGATCCAGGACCTTTATTGTTTTAAATTTTATTTATGTGTGTCTTATGTTATGTGTCTCTTTTCTGTTGTTTGTGAATCTGCAACTTTCTAAAGTCCTTGAATGGAAGTTATTTTCTAAATCATGATGTAATGTAACTTTGGTGCGGTTCTGTGGCAGGTTGGAGGCTCCTCGATACAGACGCGTTGCTGCAGTGAAAGGACAGACCCAGAAACTCATCATCACTAAAGAGGTGATGTTTTTATGTAGTGTGTGTGTTTGCCTTTGGTTAATGATAATAATACATTGGTTTTATATTGGAATAATAATGTGTTTATTTTGATTAATTATCTTTGTTTGAGTTTGATTTTAACAAGCATGTAGTAAAGTAAATAAAATAAAAAAATAAAAATAAAAACATAATTAAAATAAATAGATCAAATAATCAAAGTGACACAGGATTCATGAGGTTCTGGGCTGTACTAACAGGTTTGGCTGGCATACATTGGCGCAGATGAAGTTGGCTGGATGATATAGATACTTTTTAGATCCCCGTAGGAGAAATTCATGTGTCCAGCAGCAGCAAAAATATAAATCTCTGGGTGGAGCAGGACAGGTCACAGCAGCAGAGGTGGAGTAGCCTCTGGGTGGAGCAGGACAGGTCACAGCAGCAGAGGTGGAGTAGCCTCTGGGTGGAGCAGGACAGGTCACAGCAGCAGAGGTGGAGTAGCCTCTGGGTGGAGCAGGACGGAGCACAAGGTGGAGTAGCCGCTTGATTCGGACCATTTTCTCTGTTCTCGTCCAAAGTAAAAAGCTAAATGGTTCATTAGCATTTTTCAAAAAGTTAGCATTCCTCCAGTGGATTTTCATCTGATACGCTTGGTTTGGACCATGAATCCTCTCTGCTCTGGTCTGGACCAGTGTAAAACCATGAATCCTCTGCTCTGGTCTGGACCAGTGTAAAACCATGAATCCTCTGCTCTGGTCTGGACCAGTGTAAAACCATGAATCCTCTCTGCTCTGGTCTGGACCAGTGGCCCAACCCTTCTGTGAACTTCTTGAAAAATGCATGGAATGAGAGTAACAGTGTTTTCGAGGTTAGCTTGGCACAGGCTACGTAACATGACACCTACGACATGCCTGATCTGGGAACGGCAAGTTTATTTGTATAACACAGTTCATACACAAGGCAGCAGGATCGAAACAATCACACAAGGCATTACAATAATAAATAATCACAGTACTTTAAAAGAAGTGAAGATTCAATCCTTCAGATGTTGCAGTTAAACAGAGCTGTGTTTAACCTGGATTTGAACATCGTCAGAGAAGAAGCCTGTCTCGCATTTTCAGGAAGACTTCTATATTTTTGCTGCATAAATCTGAAATGCTGCCTCCTCATGTTTAGTCCTGACTCTGGGACCAGCAGGAGGCCAGTCCCTGTGCTCCCCAGAGTCCCAGCAGGAGGCCAGTCCCTGTGCTCCCCAGAGTCCCAGCAGGAGGCCAGTCCCTGTGCTCCCCAGAGTCCCAGCAGGAGGCCAGTCCCTGTGCTCCCCAGAGTCCCAGCAGGAGGCCAGTCCCTGTGCTCCCCAGAGTCCCAGCAGGAGGCCAGTCCCTGTGCTCCCCAGAGTCCCAGCAGGAGGCCAGTCCCTGTGCTCCCCAGAGTCCCAGAATGATGTATTTTCTCTGAGTTTACGATTAGAAAGAAGTAAATCCACAGATCCTTCAGGGTCTGGTCTTGTTGTGGTTCTCTCTGATCGTAGAGAAATGTAACGTGACCAAGTCTCGTTCTTCCTCAGACGGCGCTGGTGCGACCTCACGCCGTCGCCGCCGTGTTGCGTGACATCACCTTCACTCAGGAGCGATACGACAGCTTCATCGAACTCCAGGAGAAACTGCACCAGAACATCTGCAGGTGACACACACTACTTCACAACTTAACTTCTCTATAAACAAAATTTATTTGTATGTGACAGAATGAGTCATTTTACAAGGAAATGCAAAGGACTTCACAAGGGTTAGGGTTAGTTCATTAAAAACGCGTATAGCACACACAATATACAGAAATACACACACATTGACATACCACAGGGACAGGAGTTGAAAATTAGCATTAGCTATACACTCTGTATGTGTCGCATCAGCTGCATTTTCATAATGTAACTATGTATGACTACATTGTCCCTGTCAAATAAATGAATAAATAAAATAAATAAATAAACACACACATACATACAGTACATATACATATATACAGTGTCTTGCGAAAGTATTCTTGAACCCTTGAACCTTTCAACATTTCGCCACATTTCAGGCTTCAAACATAAAGATATAATTTTTTTATTTTTTGTCATGAATCAACAACAAGTGGGACACAATCGTGAAGTGGAACGACATTTATTGGATAATTTGAACTTTTTTAACAAATAAAAAACTGAAAAGTGGGGCGTGCAATATTATTCGGCCCCTTTAATTTCAGTGCAGCAAACTCACTCCAGACTGATTAGAGATGCAGCCAAGAGGCCCATGATCACTCTGGATGAACTGCAGATAACTACAGCTGAGGTGGGAGAGTCTGTCCATAGGACAACAATCAGTCGTGCACTGCACAAATCTGGCCTTTATGGAAGAGTGGCAAGAAGAAAGCCATTTCTCAAAGATATCCATAAAAAGTCTTGTTTAAAGTTTGCCACAAGCCACCTGGGAGACACACCAAACATGTGGAAGAAGGTGCTCTGGTCAGATGAAACCAAAATCGAACTTTTTGGCCACAATGCAAAACGATATGTTTGGCGTAAAAGTAACACAGCTCATCACCCTGAACACACCATCCCCACTGTCAAACATGGTGGTGGCAGCATCATGGTTTGGGCCTGCTTTTCTTCAGCAGGGACAGGGAAGATGGCTAAAATTGATGGGAAGATGGATGGAGCCAAATACAGGACCATTCTGGAAGAAAACCTGTTGGAGTCTGCAAAAGACCTGAGACTGGGACGGAGATTTATCTTCCAACAGGACAATGATCCAAAACATAAAGCCAAATCTACAATGGAATGGTTCACACATAGACGTATCCAGGTGTTAGAATGGCCAAGTCAAAGTCCAGACCTGAATCCAATCGAGAATCTGTGGAAAGAGCTGAAGACTGCTGTTCACAAACGCTCTCCATCCAACCTCACTGAGCTCGAGCTGTTTTACAAGGAAGAATGGGCAAGAATTCCAGTCTCTCGATGTGCAAAACTGATAGAGACATACCCCAAGCGACTTGCAGCTGTAATTGCAGCAAAAGGTGGCGCTACAAAGTATTAGCGCAAGGGGGCCGAATAATATTGCACGCCCCACTTTTCAGTTTTTTATTTGTTAAAAAAGTTTAAATTATCCAATAAATTTCGTTCCACTTCACGATTGTGTCCCACTTGTTGTTGATTCTTGACAAAAAGTTTATTTTCAAATCTTTACGTTTGAAGCCTGAAATGTGGCGAAATGTTGAAAGGTTCAAGGGGGCCGAATACTTTCGCAAGGCACTGTATACACACATACATACATAGAGTACATATACATACACACACATAAACACATACAGACACAGACGCACACACACACATAAACGCATACACACACACTCTCTTTTGATATAACAGATAAATAGTACAATATAGAATCAGTTGAATGAAGTCAACATCTGGATTCTTGAGGTTCTGAGTTCTACAATGAGGTACAACTGGTCTATAATGGTGGAACTGAAGGTGGCTGGATGACACTGTTAGCTTGTGCTGAAGATCTCATTAGCCAGGCATAGGGCCACACACAAGGCCTAAATTTAGACACGCCTGCTTTAGACGTTACCATGAGGCCTCTCCTTAATGTCTGGTGTTTGATCTTGCAGGAAGAGAAGCCTGGTGGCCATTGGGACCCACGACCTGGACTCCATCTCGGGTCCGTTCACCTTCACGGCCAAAACTCCGGATCAGATCTGCTTCAGACCTTTGAACCAGAGAAAGGAATACACAGCCACAGAACTCATGAGCCTCTATAAGGTAAAGGCAGAGAGAGAGCAGAGAGAGAGCAGAGAGAGAGCAGAGAGAGAGAGCAGAGAGAGAGAGCAGAGAGAGAGCAGAGAGAGAGCAGAGAGAGACCCCCCCCCCCCCAGAGTCTGATTGTAATACTATGTTGTTGTATAACTTGTTTCTCACATGTGATTCAGATTATGAAGGTTATTAAACTACACACAAGTCACGAGGGCCACACTTAGCGATTGACGTTTTATCAAAGTTTGCATGCTCTGCTCTTTCCCTTTTTTCTTTCATTAGTTTATTTGAATAGGGACAGTCGACATCAATCAACATTATTGTAAATGTGCCAGTATTAGCATTAGCAGTACAGCTAGTTTCCAATTGCACTCCCAAAGGCAAGGAGTAAAATGCAGCAAAGAAACATAAAAAAAAAACTAAATGAAATAGACATGTCCAGTGAAGTTAAGATATTACAATAATTAGAAATGGTATTTAGAACATGTACAAGTGTAAACATATTACTACATGCAATGATAGTCCATTTTAATGTGATTCTCTCTGCGCTCTCTCTCTCTCTCTGGCCTGTCTCTGTTCTGTCTCTTTCTCTCTCTCGTCTCTCTCTCTCTGGTCTCTCTCTCTCTGGTCTCTATTCTCTCTGGTCTCTCTCTTTCTCTCTCTCTGGTCTCTTTCTCTGGTCTCTTTCTCTGGTCTCTTTGCGCTGTGACTTTAAAAGTTTGTTTCAACTCTCTGTTTTTGACACCCTCCACCCTTTCCTGACACGGGTCTAAAAACTCTCCAACCTTTCCCAGTGTTGTCCCTGGTCGCACACAGTGTAGGAAACGTCCAGAGACTGAACATTTGCATAAACCATTTGGTTTATGCAAATGCTCTTCCCGTCCGCCTGATACTTTCTTGTGTAACATTTCTTTGAACCTGAAACCAAAGTATCCTCACGTTTATGTTTAGGAACTCGTTTCTTTCATCTCTTCTTCTTCCATGACTTCAACGACTGTAAAGAACCACTTTTTGAGCTAATGCATGGATAAATATTGCTGTTCCTAATGAAGCTTGTCACATTACAGTATATACAAAAGCTCATCAACAAAGATTCTTTATTTTGCTGAAGTGAAAGATTTTATACTCTGTAAGTAAAGTTTATTTGTATAGCGCATTTCACAGACCAGGGTCACAAAGCACTTCACACATTAAAATACATGATACACATACAAGTCAGATTTAAAAACAAAATACAGAAAACACAGTTTACACAGGTCACAGAGGCGAGGAGAGAAGGCCTGTCTAAACAAATGCGTCTGAAGTTGGGACTTAAAATCATTGACAGACTATAACATGTGCAGAGACTGAGGAAGCCCATTCCAAAGGTGAGGAGCAACTGCCTGGAAGGATCTGTCTCCTGGTTTTAAAAGGGGGACCATCAACGGGTTGTGAGCGGGGGACCATCAACAGGTTCTGATTGGAGGACCTCAGGCTCCTGTTGGAGGGGGTGGATCAGGCCCTGGATGTATTCAGGTGCCTGACCATGAAGAGCCCTGAATGTCAACACTAGAATTTCAAAATTGATTCTGTGTGAGACAGGGAGCCAGTGTAAGGACTTCAAGATATGAGTAATGTGGCCTCTCCTGTGGGTGCTCTCTCCTGTGGGTGCTCTCTCCTGTGGGTGCTCTCTCCTGTGGGTGCTCTCTCCTGTGGGTGCGGGTCAAAAGCCTCGCAGCAGAATTTTGAACAATTTGTAAACGAGCCAGATTTTACTTGGGGTCTTAATCCTAATCTTTATTGTCCAAATAGACCATTCATATATAATCTCTGTGGTATCAAAATGGAAATGGAGCAGGACTGTCCAGACTCCACCCATTTCCTCAGGTGAGTCCAGTGTTAACCTGTAGACCTGAGGAAATGGGTGGAGTCTGCTCTGCTCCTACTTTGTGCTACTACTCTGGTCTGGTACATTTCTCGATTGTGAGATCAATAAAGTCTGTCTTATCTGAAATCTTATCTTTGGTTGGTATCTAAATTTACAGCCGAACAGCTCTTTGAGAACCGCTTTTGAAAATGTAGAACACACTGTATTCATGTGAGTAGATAACTTTTACTGGAATTGATTTGATTTCTCCTCTCCAAACTTTACCTGTGGAGTAGAAACATCAGTAGGAACCTGGGCTTTCAGCGGACGCCATTGTGTGATTCTCCCACAAACACTTTGGTTTTGTTTTACGACGGCCTCTCCTCCCATGTCACCAGAATGATTGACAATTAGAAGGACCAATAGGATCCACCCGGAAAAAGAAACCCCTCCTACATATGTCTCTCTCTTTCCTTTCAGACCGACAGCCACCTACGACACTATCTGCACATCATCGAAGACAAACCTCTGTATCCAGTGATCTACGACAGCAACGGCACCGTGCTCTCCATGCCCCCCATCATCAACGGTCTGCACCCCCCACACCCTCTCATTCTACTAAAGAAAAACAATTGTTTTTCTAATCATTACATCATTACTATACAGAACTGCATTCAGCTTCTCTACTTTACTCTACTAGGCTCTACTCTGCTCGACTACTCTACTCGGCTCTACTCTACTAGGCTCTACTCTACTCTACTAGGCTCTACTCTACTCTACTCTACTAGGCTCTACTCTACTCTACTCTACTCTACTAGGCTCTACTCTACTCTACTCTACTCTCTAATCAATACGTCATTACTTTACATAACTACTCAGGTTAAAGCAGAATCATGGCATATTGTTTTTTGGAAATGCAAAGTAGACTATTTACTTTGTCATTTCCTGTTTTAGAATGTGAACTCATATCTTCAGTAGAACGTTTTATAACCAGTTTGGCATATGCTCTATCCCTAAGCTACCACCAGGGGGAGATGTTGACTAAGTTTTGTTTTTTGTCTAAATTTGAAAATAATAATAATAATGCATCGGTTTTATATAGCGCTTTTTTGGACACTCAAAGACGCTTCACATGTGTCATTATTCATTCACTCCATACACGGTGGTGATAAGCTACTACTGTAGCCACAGCTGCCCTGGGGCACACTGACAGAAGCGAGGCAACCAGTCTGTGCCATCGGCCCCTCCGACCACCACCAACCATTCACACACACACCAGACTCATTCTAGGCAATGGGGGTGAAGTGTCTTGCCTATAGACACAACGGCAGTTTGGCACTTTACAGCCGCAGCCGCCCCACTGTGGCTGGTGTTCCCAGAGGTTAAGTGTCTTGCCAAGGACACAACGACAGTAGTCAGTGGGAGTCGATGGTGAAAGTCTTGAGCGGGGCTTGAACCCACGACCTTCTGGCTCAAAGGCCAACGCTCTACCAACTGAGCTACTGCCGCCTTACTATGACTGGCTGCAAACACATAATTGTGTAAAAAACAGTTATTTTTATATATATGAGGACCTTCTGGGAGTAACATGTGACCCCGCCCCTTCTGCCTAAAAGCTCCTGTCTCAAACTTCTTTTAATGAACTTGATTTGAACTTTTGTCTTTGAGCCGTGTCTCACGTCTGCTCTTCTTCAGGAGACCACTCAAAAATCAGCCTCAAAACCAAAAACGTCTTCATCGAATGCACAGCCACCGACGTGACCAAGGTATTCAACTAAAACTGTAACAATGTAACTGAATTCTTCAAATAGTTAGACAGTAAAATCACAGTAAACAATTCAATTAGAAAGTAGGTTTTTTGTTTTTATTCCATCACTAGGCCAAGATCGTTTTGGACATGATGGTGACGATGTTCAGCGAATACTGCTCCCAGCCTTTCACGTAAGATCCACGTTCGAATCTGAAGTTGTGTTTATTTATGTAGCACATTTCACAGATCAGGGCCACACATTATTGGTTAAAGTTTGTCAGTAACTTTCCAAACTGTGGAGAGAGGGAATTGATTTGAATAGAAGCACCAAAACGTCATCTACTTATATCCAGAGCATTTTGTCATTTCATATGATGTCTTTTAATATAGTTTTAGTCAATTTCATAATTTCACTGACTAAAAAACTATCTTGCTATTCATTCGATGAAAAGAAAAAAAAAGGCCTCAAGTTCAGCAAAATGTGTCTTAATTTGAGCAGTTTCTGACTGAGCCTTAAAACTAGATTCCCCAACGGCACAAATGGCAAAATGATCTTGTTTTTAAAAAGATAGATATTTTTCCTTTTGAATGAGAAAATTAAAAAACAATCGATTCAAGCAACTATTACCTCATACTTCATTTTTTTTGCAGTGTAGTGTTAGTAAATAGTATTAAGCTTCCTGAACCTTGCATATCGAGATTTGTGTTCTTTCTAATGTAGCAGCCTGTGACAAACTGCATCGGTACATAATAATTTAATCTTGAATCTTAATGTGTGATTTGTTATGTTTCAGGGTGGAGGAGGCAGAAGTTGTTTACCCCGATGGAAAAACTTGCCTTTACCCTGTGAGTTTATAAATGTGAATGTTTTTTATTAGAATTCAAAAACGTCACTTATTCTGATGTTTGTACGTTCGCAGGAGCTGAGCTACAGGACGGAGACGGTGTCCAGTGATTTTATAAACCGCAAAGTGGGAATCAAGTGAGTGATTCCAGCTCCCTCAACCTTTTTGACCAGACACGCATGCAGCAACCAATCAGAGAGCAGCACAGTGGTCACATGGTCACAAGCCGGACAAAACGGGAAGATACATACACTCAAAAACAGATAAAACAAGAGCTAAAACAAGAGCTAAAGCAGGGACTGGAGGTGGGACTGGAGGTGGGACTGGAGGTGGGACTGGAGGTGGGACTGGAGGTGGGACAGGAGCCGGGACAGGAGCCGGGACAGGAGCCGGGACAGGAGCCGGGACAGGAGCCGGGACAGGAGCCGGGACAGGCGCAGGGACAGGCGCAGGGACAGGAGCCGGGACAGGAGCCGGGACAGGAGCCGGGACAGGAGCCGGGACAGGCGCAGGGACAGGCGCAGGGACAGGCGCAGGGACAGGCGCAGGGACAGGCGCAGGGACAGGAGCCGGGACAGGCGCAGGGACTGGAGCCGGGACAGGAGCCGGGACAGGAGCCGGGACAGGAGCCGGGACAGGAGCCGGGACAGGAGCCGGGACAGGAGCCGGGACAGGCGCAGGGACAGGCGCAGGGACAGGCGCAGGGACAGGAGCCGGGACAGGAGCCGGGACAGGGCAGGGACAGGCGCAGGGACAGGCGCAGGGACAGGCGCAGGGACAGGCGCAGGGACAGGCGCAGGGACAGGCGCAGGGACAGGCGCAGGGACAGGCGCAGGGACAGGCGCAGGGACAGGAGCCGGGGACAGGCGCAGGGACTGGAGCCGGGACAGGAGCCGGGACAGGAGCCGGGACAGGAGCCGGGACAGGAGCCGGGACAGGAGCCGGGACAGGAGCCGGGACAGGAGCAGGGACAGGAGCCGGGACAGGAGCCGGGACAGGAGCCGGGACAGGAGCCGGGACAGGCGCAGGGACAGGCGCAGGGGCAGGCGCAGGAGCAGGGACAGGCGCAGGGACAGGCGCAGGGACAGGGACAGGCGCAGGGACAGGCGCAGGGACAGGCGCAGGGACAGGAGCAGGGACAGGAGCAGGGACAGGAGCAGGGACAGGAGCAGGGACAGGAGCAGGGACAGGAGCAGGGACAGGAGCAGGGACAGGAGCAGGGACAGGAGCAGGGACAGGAGCAGGAGCAGGGACAGGAGCAGGGACAGGAGCAGGGACAGGAGCAGGGACAGGAGCAGGGACAGGAGCAGGACTAAAGCCACAATGTTTTAAGTCAGACTTATTAGTGGTCCAGAGGGGTGAGACTGGTTTGGGAGCATCACCAAATAGTAAATTTTGTAGGTCAGTGGAGACTAGAGGAGACTAGAGGAGACTAGAGGAGACTAGAGGAGACTAGAGGAGACTAGAGGAGACTAGAGGAGACTAGAGGAGACTAGAGGAGACTAGAGGAGACTAGAGGAGACTAGAGGAGACTGGCCATAGTCCATATATTGATCATATTCTGTCTCTGTCAGTGAGTCGACAGAGACGATCGCTTCGCTGCTGACCCGCATGTGCCTGAAGTCCAGAGCCACGGGACACGGAGACGAGATGGAGGTGGAGATCCCGCCCACTCGCTCTGATGTCATCCACGCCTGTGACATCATGGAGGACGCCGCCATCGCCTACGGCTTCAACAACATCGTTCGCACCACGCCGCGGACCTACACCGTCGCTAACCAGGTACAGCGGTTACATCTGTGAATTCAGCTCAGATTATTAGATAGATACATACATACATGCATGCATGCATACTGTACATACATACATAGATACATAGATACAATCATTCATTCATTCATTCATTGTAGATACAGTGCCTTGCGAAAGTATTCGGCCCCCTTGAACCTTTCAACATTTCGCCACATTTCAGGCTTCAAACATAAAGATATAAAAACCTAATTTTTTGTCAAGAATCAACAACAAGTGGGACACAATCGTGAAGTGGAACAAAATCTATTGGAGGAATTTAAACTTTTTTAACAAATAAAAAACTGAAAAGTGGGGCGTGCATTATTATTCGGCCCCCTTGCGCTAATACTTTGTAGCGCCACCTTTTGCTGCAATTACAGCTGCAAGTCGCTTGGGGTATGTCTCTATCAGTTTTGCACATCGAGAGACTTGAATTCTTGCCCACAGCTGGAGCTCAGTGAGGTTGGATGGAGAGCGTTTGTGAACAGCAGTCTTCAGCTCTTTCCACAGATTCTCGATTGGATTAGGGATGTAAAAAACTATGAATTTTCATGACCGACCACCGAGCCTCATTAACCGGTTGAAACCGGTTAACGGCGTAGTTTAAAATAGTCCACGTTCTTTGAAATAACAGCCATTTCGAGCCGCGTACTTTTCATAAGTGCAGCTGAGCGTTCTACTGGATCAGAGCCGAGACAGCGGCGCCCAAACCCGCAACAGCTCTGGCACCTTTGCGCACAGAGAACTGCTTTTTTAATCTTCCCATTCTGCTGTGCTGCGGGTTAATACCAAAACTTTCTAGCAGCAAACGACGGCTCGTTCACATGGTCAGAGCAGCGAGTGACGAGCCGCCTCTCACAGGTCTTCACAAAAGTTTAAATACAAGTGATGTGTGTGGAGCTGATCCCGAGGACCATAAACACAAACATGTTCCATGTGGTTTGACTGGAGCCGCGTATTTGCGCGAATCCTTTGGGCTCCGTGACACAGAGGAGCGCGACAGACCGGTATGTGTGTGTGTGTGTGTATGTGTGTGTGTATGTATATGTGTGTGTGTGTGTAAATATAAGCTCCAATGTAGTTCTGACCCGCGCCAGTGTGCAACTTTGACGGTAACAGAGGGGAGAGATGATGCGTGTGGATGTTACGTATGGAGCGGGGGAAAGTGTGTGTGTGTGTGTGTGTGTGTGTGTGTGTGCATATGTGGCTCGTGCGGCGTGAGAGTCGTCCCGGAGTTTATAATACATGGGCGCACACAGCTAGATACAGACCCGCTCGTCACACTGTGCAAATAGGGTTTAAAATAGCGTTATTAAGAGACCTCCCCTCTCCCCTTTTTCTCTTTTTTTAACCGACAGCTTTGACCGGTTAACGCTGTGACGGTCAACCACCGGTTAAACGGTCGCCGATTTACATCCCTAGATTGGATTCAGGTCTGGACTTTGACTTGGCCATTCTAACACCTGGATACGTCTATTTGTGAACCATTCCATTGTAGATTTGGCTTTATGTTTTGGATCATTGTCCTGTTGGAAGATAAATCTCCGTCCCAGTCTCAGGTCTTTTGCAGACTCCAACAGGTTTTCTTCCAGAATGGTCCTGTATTTGGCTCCATCCATCTTCCCATCAATTTTAGCCATCTTCCCTGTCCCTGCTGAAGAAAAGCAGGCCCAAAGCATGATGCTGCCACCACCATGTTTGACAGTGGGGATGGTGTGTTCAGGGTGATGAGCTGTGTTGCTTTTACGCCAAATACATCGTTTTGCATTGTGGCCAAAAAGTTCGATTTTGGTTTCATCTGACCAGAGCACCTTCTTCCACATGTTTGGTGTGTCTCCCAGGTGGCTTGTGGCAAACTTTAAACGAGACTTTTTATGGATATCTTTGAGAAATGGCTTTCTTCTTGCCACTCTTCCATAAAGGCCAGATTTGTGCAGTGCACGACTGATTGTTGTCCTATGGACAGACTCTCCCACCTCAGCTGTAGTCATCTGCAGTTCATCCAGAGTGATCATGGGCCTCTTGGCTGCATCTCTGGTCAGTCTTCTCCTTGTTTGAGATGAAAGTTTGGAGGGACGGCCGGGTCTTGGTAGATTTGCAGTGGTCTGATACTCCTTCCATTTCAATATAACTGCTTGCACAGTGCTCCTTGAGATGTTTAAAGCTTGGGAAATCTTTTTGTATCCAAATCCGGCTTTACACTTCTCCACAACAGTATCTCGGACCTGCCTGGTGTGTTCCTTTGTCTTCATGGTTCTCTCTGCGCTTTAAACAGAACCCTGAGACTATCAAAGAGCAGGTGCATTTATACGGAGACTTGATTACACACAGGTGCATTCTATTTATCATCATCAGTCATTTAGGACAACATTGGATCATTCAAAGATCCTCACTGAACTTCTGGACTGAGTTTGCTGCACTGAAAGTAAAGGGGCCAAATAATATTGCACGCCCCACTTTTCAGTTTTTTATTTGTTAAAAAAGTTTAAATTATCCAATAAATTTTGTTCCACTTCACGATTGTGTCCCACTTGTTGTTGATTCATGACAAAAAATTAAAATTTTATATCTTTATGTTTGAAGCCTGAAATGTGGCGAAATGTTGAAAGGTATACTTCCTGCCGAATACTTTCACAAGGCACTGTATGTAGAATCTAGGGCAATTATTGTTGCTTGATTGTATAGTCATGTTTATGTATAAGTGTTTATACTGTAAGCACAGAAGGCAACATGTATATAAAGTCATGTAAACTAAGGAATGTAAATATTATAAATACTGACTGTATGATTGTAAAATATCTCCTCGAATGAATAAAAATCAATCAATACATAGACAAATTATTACTACTATTGATCTCTGTAGGAGAACTTCAGGTGTCCAGCTGCAGAAACACGTCCATCCATAAAATAATACATAATTCTAAAAGTTACTATCAATAGTAATGCAACAGCAGTTTAGATCACAGCAGCGGAGGTAGTGTAGCCGCAACTAATATCTGAGCTTTACTCACTCAAACACGGCTCCACGGCTTGTTACGACTTGTGTGTAGTTTGGTACCAAGGAGAAGGGTTATATTGGGAATAATCTAGCATCAATAATAATTAGATGATTAACTCCTGTGTGTTTTTGGTTCACAGTTTCCAATCAACAAACTGACAGAGCTGTTGAGACAAGACCTGGCTGCAGCTGGATTCACCGAAGCCCTCAACTTCGCTCTGGTGAGAAATTATTTTACTGTTTCTTTAGTCCAGGAGTAAATGATCTCTCAAAATCATAAATCTTAAAATAAAAATTGTAGTAACGAGACTTCCATACGTCACTTTCAAAGCTCAAAGCGGTGTTTTGTAGCAGGACTGGGCGATTTTCAGTTGCAGTTTGCGTCCAGAAATGATGTCCAAGAACAAATATAATATCAGTGGTTCCTTGCCGATGCAGGAGGGACTGAGGACAGCGATGATCGGGGACATTTATGGACATTTGATAACATTTCTGGGCAGTGGTCAACCCTCTCCCTGTGGACTAATGGCTCCTATGTGTTTGTTATTAGCGCATTTCCTGTGTGATAGAAGATTTGCCATGATCCATAGATACATATACAGTAGATACATAGATAGATAGATAGATAGTAGAGCTGCAACTAACGATTATTTTGTAATCGATTAATCTATCGATTATTTTTACGATTAATCGAGTAATCGCTTGGCTGTGAATTGTGTAGAAAAAAAATATTTTTTCATCACAAAAAGCTAAAGTGGCAACACTCGAGGACGTATTGATGGCGTAAACTTAAAGTAATTGTTTGTAACAGGCTCTTTGTGCTAATTCTGCTCTGATTGGATGATACAGACAGATATTCATGAAATTATAAAAACAAAGTCGGTTTTAATCAAAAATACTACATTTTCATGTCATTTTTGCTCTGTTTGAGTCCGTGTGAACCAGAAAACGTTGTCGACTATTTCAATAATCGATTAGTTGTCGATTAATCGATTAGTTGTTTCAGCCCTAATAGATAGATGTAAAAATACATACATACATATTAGGGCTGGGCGATATAAACGGTATAAGCGGTATGCAATATAAATTTGGCCCACGGTAGAGATTTTTGTTATACCGGCATATTGCAATAGGTCCTTATGTCATCAAATTGCGCAGGCTCTGACGCCAGCAGAAGGCACCAAAACAAACCGGCATTCAGCAGCATTAGCCTAGCACTATTAGCCTAGCAGACACCACTGGAAACAACGATCAACAGCACGGCATTAACACAGTGTTTCTGTCTATGTATTATTGTCACAGCGGCCCCAGCAGAGATAAATACCAGTGGGGGAGGGTCCCAGCTCAAAAGTGGCCAAAATGACGTGCGCTGACATGCTTGCAATACCACCCCGGGCCGATGGGGGTGGACCCAGAAGTAGAATTAGCCAATGCTAACATATAGCATTGGCAGACCTCTCAGAAACGTCTTTACAGGATGGACCAAAAGTTGGCTCTTGGCCCAAAGCTCCGTTCCACATGTGTGTCAATGCTGAGGGGGGTGGATTTTTTTGGTCCACTCTAGTTTACTTGCTGTGGATTTTTTAAGTCTCTCGTTCAAATGAATGGAGTCGCGCCGACTGACGCATGCGCAAGTGCGTTTTTTCACAATTTTCTTGTGGGCGGGACCACTCGCGGCCATTTTGGATTGCTCCAGTAGAGCCCATTTTTTGGCCCATTAGTTAGAACGGCAAAGATAGGCGTGACTCTGTCCGTTAATATATACAGTCTATGGTACATACACACACAGTAATCACAGTTTAAGCGTCTACCTTTGGCCAATCAGTATCAAAGGGACGTAGGCTCGAAGCGCCAGTGTGAACCAAAATAGATCCATGCGTGTGCCGTGTCCGCAGCATCACAGCAGAAGTTTGGGAAAGTTAGCGTCAGATTCAGACCTCCGCGGTCAATATCTCACGAAAGCTACTTTGTTAAACAAAATTAATTGTGCCAAAATGATCATTTACATCAATTGTTCAAATCCAATGCGCTGTTTTAATGAACATAAATCCATTGAATCATCCAGTTCACTGCAAGCGCAGAGAAAAGCGCTCAGGAAGCGTCAACAAATGGCAAGACCAGCTTTGTAAACGAACAATAGCTTTTACTGAAGTCATGTACCTGCACAAAACTCTCAGACACTATAAATAATGACCATGTCTAACTCCTACAGACTTTGATTTCAACATTTGTGAGTTTTTTATATTTTAAATGAATGCACATGTTTTTTTTTTTAAAAATTGATTTTACAGTGAATGGTATTTACTGTAACATAAATAATGTATGTTACAACATTTGTCTCTTTATTCGTCTCACAACTGATTTTCTAACTCAAAAAATATATATATTAGATTCTAATATATAAATAAGTAACAATCTTGACTATTTTATGCAAGAACCTGCTAGACCTATATTGAAATTCACACACCAAATTATACCGTAATATGAATTTTAGGCCATATCGCCCACCCCTAATACATATAGATAGATTCATCTCACTCTGTTTCTTCCTCTGTAGTGTTCTCAAGAAGATATCGCAGACAAACTGGGAAAGAAGATCGAAGACACGAAAGCCGTCCATATTTCCAACCCCAAAACTGCAGAGTTCCAGGTATTTATTGAGTCTATTTTACGCTAAGTACACCAGAAGATCATAGCATCACTTTCTCCTATTTTGGAGGCTACATATGCATTAGCACCATTCGTCCACTAGAGGGCGGGATGCTTCCTCTGTATATTCTCACTGTTTGGGCTCTCCAGCAGTTATTCCCCGTCTGTTCTGCAGGTGGCGCGCACTACATTGCTGGCAGGGCTGCTGAAAACCATCGCGGCGAACAGGAAGATGCCGCTGCCTCTGAAGCTGTTCGAGATCTCTGACGTGGTTCTGAAAGATGCCACAAAAGGTGGGAGGAGATGAGTCAGTGATCAGAGAGAAGCTGCCTTTTGTAATCGGGGGATGGTGATGATGTGGCCTTTATCACAAGATTCTACACTACATCTTTACTAACTATCACAGCTTCTCATGGAGTTTAGAGCAGGCTAGTTTTCAATGGCCCTTAAAATGATTGTGAATTATTATTATTATGATTATTATTAACTTGCAGCATTGATGGTTATGGGCGACCAAGGCATGTCATACATAGATTTTATTTTAAAATCTAAACTCAACATATTAAAAGGTAAAGTTGAACACAACAAGTTTTATATTTAAATTAACTATATTTTTGGTCCACTTTTGGTAAAATCTAAATTATATAAACATTTTGTTTTCAGAAAAATGTCAAAATGCCTTCACAATGTAACATTTATAACAGAAGAGGAAAAGCTGTTCCTATTTTTGTGTTCTGCCCCGGCCAAGATGAGTTTGACGGCTGTGCTTAAGAGCAAAATACAAGATTTTAATACTTAAAATCATATGAATTCAGGTGTTGTTCGAAATATACATTTGTAGACGCAAGAGTAAAATACTACTATATTCCAGTGAAATTTTTTTTTTCCAGACTACAAGCTGCACCTGATTATAAGCCGCACCTGTCCCACATTGTTATATTTATTAATGTAGCTCAAACACGGTCATCATGTCTTCTGTATAATAAGTAATAAGAGTAAGGGTAGGAAGTGAGTCACTGACTGTTTTTAATTCTCCAGTGTGAAGCAGAAATGTATGGAGCGACATGTCTTTTCACTTTTTGTCGTACAAAGAACCAAAAAACGATTTATTATGAGATATTTACACAAACCTTACTGTTTAATTGGACCTCTGTGAACTACTCATCACTTTGGTTGTCTGACTGCCACAGAATAATAAAAAAATAAAATTAAGCCGCACCTTACTATAAACCACAGCCGTTAAAAAGTCGCTGTTTATAGTCCAGAATTTACTGTATTTTGTTGTTATGTATAAAGTCTATATTTAGCATAATAAAGAAGCAATAGATGAGCAGTAAATGTATAGTTGTATGTTTACCTCTGTACATGTTGGCAGGGTCTGGTACACAGTAAAGTGACCGTGAACACATGGTTCCATATTGCACATTGGCAGAACAGTGCCCCCTAGTGGCTGGTCGTGACCATGTTATCGGTCAAACCACACTTTTGACTCCCATACTCTCAACAATGTGTCACTGGTGTCAGATAAAGGCTGAAGAAAAATAACCTTTTTATGCAGATGTGGGAGCGAGGAACTGCCGGCGTTTCTCTGCAGTGCATTATGGGAAGAGTCCTGGTTTTGAGGTGATCCACGGACTCCTGGACCGGACCATGCAGCTGCTGGAGTTCAAACCAGGCCCAGAAGGCTACCACATCCAGGCTGCAGACGGTGAGCACCAGGCACTCATACTTCTTAATACTGCTACTACAACTACTGCTACTGCTGATACTGCTGCTGCTACTGCTACTGCTGCTGCTGCTGCTGATACTGCTGATACTGCTGCTGCTACTGCTACTTCTGCTACTACTGCTACTACTGCTGCTACTGCTACCACTACTACTACTACTGCTGCTACTGCTACTTTTGCTACTACTGCTATGGCTACTACTGCTACTGGTACTACTACTACGACTAGGGTTGGGCGATATTTTTTTTTGTACCGGTATACCGGTATAAGTAAATTAAATGATAAGAAAATGCCTTATACCGGTGAAAACGATCATTTAACACTGAAAACGGCGAGCAGAAGACACGTTTGTGTGCGGCGCACTTTGATGATGCATCTGCGCGGCACGTGTAGCAGGGCTCGAGACTAACATAGTCCCGTCGTCCCGGGGACGGGAAAAAAAATGCACGGGACGAGATGAAATTCTCCCCGGGACGGTCCCGGGACGGAAAGCCTTTAACCAATTTGTATTTGTAAAATAGGCAATATATTTATGTAAGCGAGTGCTAATGTTCCATATTAAAGAGAGAGAGCTCCCGCTCAGGGAATTCTGTTCTGCTCTTATTTGACGCGGAATCATGGGCAAACATTTTCCCGCTTCTCCGTTCTCTGCGCGGACCCAGTTTGACCACGTAGCAGGTGCATGCACCTGCACAGTTGGCACCCTGTCCATAGAGAAGGAGCGGTAAAGGTGCAATCCAGAATGCTGCGGTGGTTGTCGCTGCCAAAAGACAGGAACGTTGTCGCAGGCTCTTCGGAAGCGCAATCCAACCAGCCTCCACCAAACACTTTAAAGGTAAGATAATTTAGCATTACAGCGAAGAGTTGACTGCTAACGCTAACACTGCAGTTTGATAGACAAGTTAGCTTTATAAAATACACATTGGATTAATGGGAAATATGCAAAACACATACATTTGAGGCCTTATAAGGAAACGTTATTTCAAATGAATGGGTTGCTCAACTAATAGAAATATTCAACTGTCTTCTTATTGCATTTGTTACCCCAACGAATGCTAACACTAAATAATACGGACATTAGCTATATCTATTATGGCACAGATTTTGCTAATGTCCGTATTATTTAGCGTTAGCATAAAAAAACAGAAATCAACAGCGGGTCAGAGGCCTTTTGTGGCCTTGGTGCGCGCTGCCTGCGACCCACCTCGGCCCTGTTAATCCATAATTGATGAACAAATCATTACGTGACCTACTAGATCATCTGTCTGTCTAAGCCTCGTGTTTTAATACAACACATTCTAGCATTAATAATGTCCGTGCATTATCTGGCTCTGTGCTGTACGTGCCATTAGAGGTCTACTGGTGGACAGGCGTTACAGACACATGTCTTCAGAAGTATTGTGGCAGCGAGTACTGCAGGGTGCGGTTGGTCGAGAGGGGCAGTTTAAACACATGCAAGTCATTGCAGAAATCGCACTGGTCTTCCCCATGTCGTCGTCCTGCTGCGAGCGTGGCTTTTCTGCCATGAAACGGAAACCCTAAGTCGCAATATTGCGACAAGCAACATTGCTCACTTAAACAGGCTGTATCTAAAAATGTGGTGCAGAATCTTGTTAATACTTTTCACCAGGGGTTAGTGGACATGTGTGCCTGTAATATGAGCAACATTTGTGGGTGTGGTTATATTGAAAGTTTTTGAGTAAATTGAGTTCGTAAAACACCTGCGGCGCAGCGGCGCGGAGGCGAAGCAGCAGCGGTAGAGCTGAGAGGAGCGAGAGCAGAGCAGAGGGAGAGAGTGTTTTTTATTTTACTCACGAGGTCTTCAGTACCAGAGAAGTACTTGGTCTGGTACTGGCTCACTCAGATTCAAAGAAGGAAGACACACAGGTGTCCAGTGAAGCAGACACGGACATTATTGGTGACGGGGAGACCGCGCTCCATAGTCCACAATCAGCCCCTGTGCAGCGGCTGCTTGTCCTCCGTGTGGCCGCGGTAGAAGCATTCTGTGAACGCCAAGCAGGGGCCGTGGTGGAGGGGACAGGGGGATCATAACACCGGGCATGTGGGAGAAAGTAGTGGGGGTAGACATCCACGGGGAACACGGGAGACGCGGGAGAGCCGCGGGAAAAAAACACATCGCTAATTGCGTTCACTGCCTTTACCAGCAGCGATGATGAGGATGAAGACAGTTCTTGAGAGAAAATAATCCACAAAAGTGGATCAGAAGCGTTGAAGAGCCTGTTGTATGTTGTTGAGACGATCTGACAAGTTCTGAGCCCATTCATTTCATCTCTCTGTTTCTAAACGGTAAATCCTGGAGCCTCATTTCCACTGAGAAAAATAGTAAGCCCACTACTTCTCTGAAAGGGAAATATTGAAACCAATCTCAAGATTTCATGACTGTAAACTATAAAGAGTGCTGTCTTGATCACTGAAGGTCTTTGAAAATAATACAATTCCATATGGCCGCGAACCAGTGCTAAAACATTATCTATAATCTGGATCAGGGAATTTATTTCTATCCCAAATTCATTTCATACTAAAGATATTTCACATTGACTGTTTATAGTATTCCCTGATCTCAAATAACTCCCAAGCTACAGCTTTTTGAAGTCTTTATACAATAATTAACATTTTCCAAAATGGCCGCCACCTTGATGACGTCACGATATGCAAATTAGATGACGAATCAACTTCCATCCCAAAGTTTGGTTCAAACTGAAGATATTTCTAATTTACAGTATGCCTTTATCTCAAACCATTTTAAAGTTATAGCCTTTTGAAATCTTGAAATCAAAATTGTATATTTTCTTGAAAAAACTCTGGCGCCTAAAGGGTTAAATCAGATTGGAGGTCATGCTTGACCAATGAAATGCTCAACTCACTGCTTCAGATTTCCATCCATGGCCCTCCTCCTGATGAGTACGATTCCGCAAAAGCCGTGACAGCATGGTGGAGGGGCAGTTACAGGGCACGAAGGCCCACATTTGCAGATGATAATCATAAGTAGAAAGAAATGTTTTGCTTTTTTGTAGCTTTAATCAGCTTCTTCCACTAGTTATACGCAGTCTTTGTGCCGGTTGGGCAGTTCTATTTTTTTGTATGAAATGTTAATGTTTTTACATTAAAGGGACTATACAGAGTGGAAAGTCATGCACAAGCTTAATGTAGAAGATTTGACCTGAGGTGGCAGTCGTGAGTATAAAATGGCCGACTTGCATCTAGTTCCTTTAACATTAACAAGTGTTTTACATTATTTAGTTGATGATGTGAGTCTGTGCGAATTGAATCTGTTTCTGTAGTTTTGGCCTCTGATTTAAGTGGGTCTGCCTGCACAATTTGTATTTATTGTTTAAGAATGTTTTACCAATAAATTGCATTATTGTGAAATTAGTCATTTATTTACACATTATATTGTGTAAAACAATGATAAAAATACTTTTATAATAAATGTATAATTAAAAAAATGTATTAGAAAATACATATTAAATTCGGGACGGTTCACATCCATTTCGGGACGATGCCAAATGGTTTTCGGGACGGTGTCGGGACGGTCATGAAAAAAGTTAGTCTGGAGCCCTGACGTGTAGCAGAGCGGCGTGCAGGGACAACAACAACAGAGCAGAGAGCAAACATGGCTGAGGGCGGCGGTGAAGACCATGGTGAAGACATGCAGATTGTAGAAGACATTGTGCCAAAACGCGGAGCTACCTCAAACATATGGGAGAAGTTTGGGAACTAGATAAAAAGAAGCAATTGTGTGTAACTATCGACAGTGGATCTAATGTTGTGAAAGCAGCTGCCCTAAACAACTGGACTCGAGTGGCTTGCTTCGGACACTCGCTCTCTCTCTCTCTCTCTCTCTCTCTCTCTCATAGTGCCATTGGTAAGCTTTATTTACTGTTTACTGTCATTCATTTTACTTCATTGCATGTGTTTGTCTACATTGCAATATAATTACAAATAAGTTATAATTACATAATTATAGAAACGCAAAAGGATACAAAAAATATATACAGTATTTGATCATTTTGACTATTGGGATTAGGAAACATAAGCCAAAGTGATCAAATAATTATTTGATAATGCTACACTTTTTATATTACAAAGGACAAACTTTTATATATTTTACAAATTACAAATGTTCACCTTTATTACATGTTACCTGCAATTTTCAGTATGTACAAAACAGAATTCTCTACAATTCAGTTTTGTTAATACGTTTTATATACAATAGCTGTATTACACATTTTGCTGCCAATAAATCAGTAAATGCACTTTGAGGCAAGTGTGTTTAAAATTATCAGTGCTAAGTTTTTATAGCTTTTATATGAGGCTTTGTTAAAATTATCATATCGTCATATCGTGATACATACCAACAAAAATCGTGATACATGCTGAGGCCCATATCGCCCAACCCTAACTACGACTACTACTTTATATTGTATGGACACAATAGTTTGAGTGGAAAGACCAAATGCACTGCCTTTAGTGTTATAGCAAGACCATGCTTACCACTACTACTACTACTACTGCATTTGATAATTATCTACACATACTGTCCTGCATAATATCTTATACTTCTCACTTTCCTTAAAAAACAGGCTAAAAACAGACTAATAACAGAATATAACATAGTTGAATCTTCTCACTGCCTATTATTTATAATATCTCAATGCTTCAAAATTCTCTATTTTACTACTAAAACATGTACTTGTTGTAGTCCTAGTTTGCTAAAATGCTGCTAGACCACATCACTGTAACTTATCAAGTGTTTTGGCTGGACAGTAATAGTATTCTGGGTGTTAGCAATAGCATTTATTTTAGCATTCTCTGTCCTGGGAAGACTGGGGGAAAGAGAGGAGAAGCCAACCACCAGGCCTGCCGCAATATACTTAAGCTTAAATGATAAACATCTTAAGTCTGGATTTGACCATGAAAGAACAGATCCCTGCATTGAAACAAATGGAAGAGTCCTGTG